GGCTTCGGCCTTAGGGTTTCGGGTTTACGGTTTCGTCCTCGGGGGCTCGGTTTCGGCCTTGGGGCTTCGGCTATGTGGCTTCGGCCTTAGGGTTTCGGGTTTACGGTTTCGTCCTCGGGGGCTCGGCTACATGGCTTCGGGCTTTGGGTTTCGGCCTTAGGGTTTCGGCCTCAGGTTTTCAGTCCTGGCTCAAACCGTGTTTGTCTGGGGGGGGTTGTCCGTTCGTTGCACATTGCACGCACATGTTCTAAGGGCCCAGGAGCAGTTTGCATAATCTTCTGGGCTAGGGTGCTCAGCCCCTAAGTTTGTGCAGCATTCAGTTGCGTTTCTGGTTGTAGCGGTCAAGCAACATGTATAGAGAGTGAGAGAGCCAGGTTTTGAATCCTTGCTACATTCCAGACTGCTGGCCGTTTCGAGGTGATCTTCGCGCCGATGCCGCCGCCTCCGGCTCTAAGGAGGGATAGATCAGATAGGTTTAGGGTCTTACGGATAAGTTAAGGGGCTGGGTGGGGGGAACGAGGTTCTGGGCTGAGGCTGCCTCGAGCTCTTCCTGGAGTGCCTGCCAGACTGCACTTGCACTGCCCTCCTGACTCAGGGCCAGCGTTTTCGAAGCCTTGTGTGTGCGGCTCTCAGATAGGATCATTACGTGGCTGGCGAATGCCTATGGATTCCGAGAGAAGCACGACATCTCTCAATGCTTCGGCTCGATGCGCAACCTGCAAAGACTCAACTCAGTCGTCTTTGACGACCGGGTTGAGCTTGCCCCACCCAAGAGCCATGGCCTCAGTTACCTCGGTCTTTTCCCTGATGCAAGCCCGCACGGTGGCCTCATCAGAAGCTTCGGACTTTTCCTCTTTGCACACGGAGCAAGGCTGGGCAGAGTGAGCCGTGCTGTCGGTCACCGCGGACTCTTCGGGAAAGCCGAACTCAACATTGACCCTCTTGCAAGCCGAAGGAAGACCTTGGTGGGAAGGCTGATCCTGGGGACGCCGGCTGGAACGCTGGCACAACTGATGCCAAGTACAAGCCGAACGAAACAGAAGAATATGCCGAGGACGGATGCACATCATACGAAGCTTGAGCTGATTGTTTGGGCACAAACAACGTGTCCAGGGCGTCCTGATACTTCTGGCATGTTGGTGTGCGATTGAGGTTGTGCTGAGGCAGAAGCTCTTGTACAGGCAGCAGTCCAAGCCTTTTCCCCAGTGACAAACATCATCCCTGCACGCCCCATCGGCCCCCTCGTGCAGAGGCCAGTGCAATTTAAAGTCTGCAAGTCCCCTGGCTCGCGATGGACAGGGCTTTGATTTGCTGTCTTTTCGGCAGACAGGAGACAATCCACATGCGGGGCATGCGGTCGTAGATCGGGCTGGATATCGCGGGCCTGAAGCCGAGAGGCACACGGCACACATCGGCACCGGCAAAGTGCACCCTCAAGCAAGAAGCCTGCCGCACTGGTTTTGCTGCCAAGCTGTTGATGCCGGAGTTCTTCGATCGTACTTTCCATGGCTTTGCCAAGACAGAGAAGGCCTTATATAAAGGTGGCAGCCTTGCTGCCAATATCCTTGACAACAATCCGTCGGCGCATTGTCCAAGAGCGGCTACGACACGATACCGTGCCAAGACGAGATGGTGCAGCGCGTCTACATGGCCTTCCAGGACATGGGCTGCGGAACGCTGCTGTGGGACGATCTTCACGAGTAATTGTACCTCGTCTCACTGCAGCAGTGGACGTGAAGACTGCGCCACACACAGCATGAGGGCTCCTGATCGCGCATGTTGACGCCTCCGGCAAGCAAAAGGCTTCAGAAGCGAAGGTGATCATGTTTTGATGAAGAGCCGGTGCGACATCCCTAAACCCCTAAACCCCGGATATAGAAAAGCACACGCGCGCCCAGGAAAAGGGGCAGACTTGGCCGGTCGCTGCCCTTTTCATCATGTGGAGTCTGCAAACATTGCAAACCCTTGTTGGAAGTTGGTTTCGGTTGATGCAATCGCGCTTTAAGCACCGCTTGAATGTGAGCATGTTGATCGGACTCGAGAAGCGAGACAGAAGACATTTTCGAAGGGTCACGGGCTTGGTGGCGAATTTCTATTGCCGAAACATGGGGCGGAGGGGGGGAAGACGAGTCAGATCTTCTGGGTGCGGTTTTGGGGGATCAAGCTACTGCTGAGAAGCAAGTCCATGTCCGCGTGTCCCCTTGAAGAAGAGATTTTGGAGTCTCTGGGGGCCGCTCAGGGTGATGCACAAGCATTTAGCAGGGGTTTTAGCATTGCCTCGCTCTCAAAGCTTCGGCGCGCTGCGCAAGCTGCGGCTTGCGGCTTGCAAGAGGGTCAAAGATGAGTTCGGCCTTCCCGAAGAGTCCGCGGTGCACGACAGCACGGCTTACTCTGCCCAGCTTTCCGCAAGTCCGAAGCTTTTGACGAGGCCACCGTGGGGGCTTGCGTCAACGCAGAGACCAAGGTACCTGAGGCCCTGGCTCCTGAATGGGGCAAGCACAACTCGGGCGTCAAAGTCGAGGGAGTTGAGTCTTTGAAAGTCTGTCCTGGGGACGCCGGCTGGAACACTGGCCAGTGCAATTTAAAGTCTGCAAGTCCCCTGGCCCGCGATGTTTCAGAGATAGGGCTTTGCTGTCTTTTCGGCAGACAGGAGACAATCCACATGCGGGATTACCCGGAGCCCGAGATGCTGTTGGAGTTGCTCCACAGCGGTCGCCTTGCCGAGGTCGCCTGGAGCATGCGGTCGCAGATCGGGCTGGATATCGCGGGCCTGAATCCCGAGGACGCCGTTATTTGCGTCTTTGAGAGGCACGCGGCACACATCGGCACCGGCAAAGTGCACCTTCAAGCAAGAAGCCTGCCGCACTGGTTTTGCTGCCAAGCTGTTGATGCCGGAGTTCTTCGATCGTATTCTCCATGGCTTTGCCAAGACAGAGAAGGCCTTATATAAAGGTGGCAGCCTTGCTGCCAATATCCTTGACAACAATCCGTCGGCGCATTGTCCAAGAGCGGCTACGACGCGATACCGTGCCAAGACGAGATGGTGCAGCGCGTCTACATGGCCTTCCAGGACATGGGCTGCGGAACGCTGCTGTGGGACGATCTTCACGAGTAATAATTGTACCTCGCCTCACTGCAGCAGTGGACGTGAAGACTGCGCCACACACAGCATGAGGGCTCCTAATCGAGCATGTTGACGCTTCGGGCAAGCAAAAGGCTTCAGAAGCGAAGGTGATCATGTTTTGATGAAGAGCCGGTGCGACATCCCTAAACCCCTAAACCCCGGATATAGAAAAACACATGAGGGCCCAGGCAAAGGTGCAGACGTGGTGGTGGTGGTTGGTGGTGGTGTACTTCTCCTTTTCTTTCCACTCTCCTCCCGTCCTCTCCACCCCCTCCACTCCTCCGTTCTCCGCTCCTCTCGTTCACCTCTGACTCTCCTGTCCACTCTCCTCTCCTCCTCTCCACTTCCTGCTATCCTTTGCTCGTCACTGCGTTCCACTCGTCTCCACTCCTTTCCTCTCCACCCCTCTCCACTCCTCTCCCCTCCTCTCCAGACCCCACAATCACCATCACAACACCGCCGCCACACCACCACCACCACCACCACCACCACCACGACGCCACACACTGCCACGGCCCACCGAGCCTGTCTAAAATTCGGTGCCCCAAGTGCAGAGAGCAACGACGGCGAGAGAGAGAGGGAGAGAGAGAAAAGTGCCTTTGCACTGTGAGCTGCGAGCGACAAGAAGGAATGGGACGGTGTTTACAAGTTGCTAGTCTCTGGTTGAGTGAGTGAGTGAGTGAGTGTGTTTGTGTGTGTGTGTGCGTGCGCGGGTGTGTGCGTGTGTGTGTGTACACCCTGATTCTA